CCGTCACCGCCTCCACCACCGCCTCCGCCACTGACTCTTGTCTCTGTCTCCACCAGCGTCGCCGAGCCTGAAGCTCCTCTTCGCCCTTTTCGCCGCCGCCGCCGGTTTCCCACACAAATGCCTCCCTCTGTCCGGCAGGGCGAAATTTAACGTCCGCGCATCGACGAGCCGCGATGATGCTGCGCGGTTGGCGCGGTATTGTTCCGGCGGTTCGAGAATCGCCAAACGCAACGTTTCACGAGACCGACAATTTTCACCAGAGAAAGATCGCGGAAAGATCGTGTAGCCGTGATGTTTCTATTCCGCGCCGCGCGGCCAAAACGCGCGGAATCGATCACGGAGACGTCTAGCTGCCGATAATTACCGATCACTGTTACTGATCGTGAACACTTTAGTAAACACCGCGCGGTCGGGTCTCCGGTTTAGAACGAGCCATGAATATCGTAGACGATAACGATGGACGATTGGACGGACCCCAAGCGGTCGTTTGAAGAAATTTCGAAAAAGTCGCACGGATCTCTGGCGCCATCTATCATCAATCGTGGCAATTATCATGAAATAAGCAGGTTTGCCAACAAAATAATTCTCTTCTTTTTGTTTTTGAAATTTAACATTGACCGTTGACGTCTATTTTGAATTAGGACATACAAAAATACGTTATTCTATATCGTTCTTTTTTCCTATAACAATTTTTTTAATAGAATGATATAAAAGATTCTTATAGACTTTTGACAATCCCAACAAACAAGAATGGATTAAAATGGATTAAAATTTTATTAATGCGTACTTTAAATCCATGAAAATGGATTGAATGGATTAAAATGGATTGGATTCGAGCTGACACTAGTTTAATATTCGAAAAAAAAACATTCATATTTAAAGGTTACTAATTTTATTCCTAAGACATTTATAAATAATTATACCTAAAATTAACTGCTGCTTCAAATTGGTATTAAAAAACGCATCTTAGTGGGATTCGAACCTGGGATTTCTGGATTATGAATCTTCTACATAATCCTCTACACCACTTCTTTAATTGATAAAGGTGTTATTCATTCTTCACTTCAATTACAATCAGCTAAACTAGTAACGAAATTATATAGATATAATAAAAATATCATCATTTAACAGATATAATAAAGTATAAACAATTTACATTACTCTGAGACAACATTGGGTAAGTGTCGGATAATCTAATCTCGCTTGGCCAGCGATATCATGCGCCGTGATTAGCTTAATATTGAAGCTGGGTTCGATTTGATTTATTCACATCGATCATTCAGTTTTATTTCAAAGAGAAACAAAAGAACATAATTCAATTAGTTTTACGTTACAACTTTTTTGAACTTAATTGAATTAAAACGAAAAATTTCCTACTTATAATTTTGAATAATTTAAGTATTAAGTAGCATTTATGATCCATTTTTAAATAAAAACTTTTTTTATTCAATTAGATTGAAAAGCATTTCATATTCAGAATATTGAATTGAGCAGTATTCGTTGCACAAAAATTGCTGATATTATTTTTGAATTTAACTGAATTAAAAAACTGTACTTCCTATTTACAATTCTGAAGAGTAGTATTCACGATTGCATAAAAATTGCTAATTTTTAGATTGAAAGACCTAGAGATATGCTCTATGCAATTCCTATAAATGAATAAAAATGCATTCAAGATTGAAAAGGATTCATTTTTTAACATTCATAAATCCATATTTCTGAATCCATTTCAATTCATTTCAATCCATTCATGTTTGCTGGGTGATACAATGATTAGTGATCTCTTACGCAACCCGTGGTCGTGAAATTATACGCAATGCGTATATGCATGCGTGCGTGTGTGTTCCTACACATGTGCTTCTCAGCTAACGAGAATGGATTGAAATGGATTCAGATTTTTGGAAATATTGATTCACAAATGTTAAAATGAATGTTTTTTGCAATCCTGAATGCATTTTTATTCATTTATAGGAATTGCATGGAGCATATCTCTATGCCTTTCAATCTAAAAATAATATTAGCTTTTTCTATGCACAACAATACAATTGTGAATACTGTTCAATTCAAAATTTTGAATAGGAAATAGGAAAGTTTTTCAATTCAATTGCATCCAATTGAATCTAATTGCATCCAATTGAATCTAATTGAATTCAATTGAATCCAGTTAAATCAAGAAAAAAGTATTCGCTATTTAAAATATGCATTCGGATAGAAAAAAATTTCAATCCATTTTAATCCATTCAGTTTGCTGGATTGTCTCACTGGCATTTGTTCACCGGCCTGAGAAAGAGATACAAGTTTTTCGAGCTGATTTATTTGAGTTGTATAGATGTAGGATATAAGTGAATTGTATAGGTATGATTGTTCCTTGTTCCTTTTATTGTGCGAAGCCCTTAATCTATATTGTAAAATCGTGAAGTTCCGCGAAAAGTTCCATCGTAAGCACATGTTATACTTACGTGATACATCATTCACTTTGATTACACTTTTTATACTCAGCATCTTCGCTTTCTCTCTTTTCGGCGCCAAGTATACATATATTTATCTCATTTTAAATGTAAAAAGTGTAAAAAAGTGTAAGCAAGGCGAATGAATTTCAACATACAAAAGTCTGTTCAAATTTAAATGATATTCTACGATAATAAACTTTATTTTGGAGTAAATCGATATATCTTTGAGTATTCATTATATTACGAAATTCATTATATTATGAAATTCTGAAATGTGCAAACAATAACGATTCCAAAATAGATTAGAAAAACACATGAATTAAATATTTAATTAATTTAAGTTAAATTAATTTAAAACGATTTATTAGGATTGCAAAATGTAATGAATTGCACACAATAAGTAAGAAGCAATGCTTATATCGGTTAAAACTGGATCTTGAGTGTTCTAAATAATTTCAAGAATAATTATCACACTATTTATTTTAGAAAAAAATCAAGTTTGAAAAAATGTGAAAAAATTACTTATGTATATAATTATATTTTTAACATTTTTCCAAACTTGTTTTTTTTTTCTAAAACGAACAATGCGAAAATTATCTCTTTAATTATTTTTTATGTTTTACATTACTATTGTTATTTCTATTACACTAAAAAATAATTTTATAAAAAGAGGGACGAATATATGGACATGTTTCATATATAATTATACGTGTTTGTGAATATTTATATATATTCATACATATTTATACATATTAATGTACGAAACATTTGTCGTTATACAATGTCATTTAACATATATGAAAAATATAATTTGAATATTAAAGAAATTTTAAAAAGACTTATAAGATAATCGTTAAAACATTCATCATCATTGCGATAACATTTAAAGTTTCGAAATGTTTTGTTGAAAATGTTATCCTTATCGAGACCTCCGATAGTTATGTATAAAATCGAAGCAAATCAAATATATGTATTTCACTCGTCGCAAAAAAAAGTTGTGAGAATAATTATAATCAGCGCAAGGATTATTTTGACAACTACATGATAAAAAACATTTTGTATTTATGTTAAAATGAATCCTTATTAAAATTTTTGTATTGAATTTTTAACATATTAATTTAACATAATGTGAATATGTTATTTTGTGATAAATTAAAATTTAACATTTCTCAGTGTTAATAAATTGTGTTAAAATAACACAATAAGTAGTTCAAGGGCCGAGGTAATATTTTTCACAATAAAATTAATAGTTTCAATATATTAACATCTTTAACATGCTTGATGGTAGCATCAAATTATTAAATTGCTTGTCAATTTAATTCGCGATTACTAGAATAGTTTTAATTACGTTTATAGTTCGGAAAAATTCGGCGTGCAGTTCTAAAAAGACTGTAATATGATATATATGCAAGTATATAGTGTATATTAGTAATTCAAAATTGAATTATTTTAAAGTAATAACGATCCAGTTTCGATCATAATAGGCATTTTTCTAGTATTGATTGTGTTTCTTACGTATGCGATTTAAAATAAAGATTCTTAATATTGTTTATAAGTAATTAAACAAATAAAAATGATGTAGTTTTATTTGAAATAAATTCTAAGAATAAATGAATAAAATGTGTGTGTTAATTTAATATATTATAATTATTATAAATGTTAATTTTACCGAAGAAATATGTTTTGTACAGCTAAACTATATGTAAGTATATTTTACATGTAGAAAAGTACAAATATTTTGTTATTTTGTCTTTGTAACAATAAATATCTGTTTTGTAATATTAAAAATCTATATTATTATTATATATGTTAAATATCATAGAGGCATCGCCTAAATTAAAAATATAAAATTAGCGTTTCAATTAAATTTAATAATAACATTATAAATGTGTCAATTTAACTTCAAATTTGTTTTTAAATTATATCAGTGTCACTTCTTGTGTTAATTTTTTACATAATATTTATTTGTTATTTTCTAACATATTCATTTTATGTTAAATTAACACAAAAATTTGGATGGCCCGTTTAGGACATGTTAAATTTAACACAAAATTTTTTACCATATATAATCTATTTAAACAGAAAAAAATATCCACTAATAAGAATTTAATACAAACATTCATTGAGATGATATTTCAAGCCAATTTAATTAACTTCAATTCAATTAATTTCAATTTAAGATAACAGTCTATGGATACAATATATGGTCATAGTGCATAAGTAAATGAAGGGAGGGAAGAGCATGGATGGAACAAATATCTCAAATAGATAGACAGCCCTAGGCCAGAATTTCTTCATTGCGCAACAACCTGTTTTGATCGTATGAAAAGAATGGCTGCGTTCAGCGGACTCAACAGTTGAGTGAGCGCTGTTATTGGTATATTCTTTTAGATCATCCAATTAGCATTTTAGATCTGGAAGAATACATCAATAGTAGCAAGCGCTCACTTAACTGTTGAGTCTCACTTAACTGTTCAGCTCCGCTGAAGCAGCCAATCACTCGCGATCGGCTTCGCTTGACCGACAAGGAGGCAACAAAGAAGGTCGGTCTGACGTACAACAAATTATTCCGCTCAGTATTAATTCGGCGTGCGAACTGTGAACAGCACATTCATCAATTCTTCATATCTTCAAGGATTCTTCCGAGGAACACGCTATAGACGAATTCATACAGATGATGAACGCATCAGTTTTAAGATCAGCCTTCCGCGAAGTACGTGAGCACGTATAGCCCAGTCTTTTTGTTCCATTAAATTTAATAAGTTTTCTAAACTGTTTTGTTTTTTTTTCAAAACCATCAAATCCAAAATTTCCCAGAATATGCAATTGCTTATTTGTATACATATCATTTGTATATTTTATTTGTACATACAATACTATACGCTATTTTACATAACTTATCTGTTCGTGATTAGCAGTCGAATTCATTTGTATTTCTTTTTCTGCAAAGCATTCTTTTAATGTTCATAATCGCGGTCACAATAAGTAGATTAATTTCTCTAATTTACTATACATTAATTTACTATACTCGCAAAATGTACTAAAATGCCAGATTTTATGTAAATTTTATGTATATTACGTTTATTATATGTAAAATTTTTATATAAAATTACAAGAGAAACAAGTATGCACATATTTCGTGGCTTACCTATACCTATAGTGATAAAATTATTTTTTCTATCGGTTTAGATTATCGTGTTTAGATTATCAATACCTTTTACCGTTTTGCATTTCCATTTTATCAAATCGACTAAAAAAAAAAAATCATGTCACAATGTTACATGATGAAATCATGGAATTAAAACATGTAAATTATGTAACGGATTGTTTCAAATCAGTACGTGATTTTTTAAAATCATGTAGTTTGAAAAATCACGTAATATTAAAAATAATTTCATTCATCATGTGATTTTATAATTATCGAATTTTAAAGAATTGATAGAAATAGAAGAAAAAAATATGTGATTTTTCAAATTATATAATTTTCAAAAATTACGTACTGATTTGGAACAATTCATTACGTGATTTATATGTTTTAATTTGGAACAATTCATTACGTGATTTATATGATTCCATGCAACTGTATGATGTAATTTTTTTCAGTAGCGGAGTATTTATATTTGCCAGTACATCGATTAATCAAAGATTAAAACAGCAATCAGAAAAAAATGTATTCAACTTATTTCGAAAATGTTTTATTTTTTCTTACTACGTCGTATATTGCATGTATATTTTTATTATATAACATATAAAATAATCAACCGCTTATTCTCTTGATGAATATGTTCAGTTTATATAATTGAACACGCTACAAAAGGCAAAGAAGCTACGCTTGTTATTCATGCTGTTTATATATTTAATAGACAAATAATTATACAGACGTTTCGACCTTTTTACATCAGGTCCTCTTCAATATAATAAAATTAACGCTACTATTTTTTTACATTTCAAAATTTTCATAAGATCGAGATCATATCGAGATTCCTACATTTGGAATATCTTCAATTGTCATAAATGAATTTATCTATAATTCCGAACGTTAAGACCATGGTACACAAAAAACTTAAGGCAGTAAGATGTAAAATTTATTCGCGTCGTATGCTTCAACATATTCCTACTTCCTCCAACTTTCTCCTACTCACTCAAACACGCTCGTTAGAGTGAGTAGAAATTATGGTAGGAACATCTTGAAGCATGTTGAAGTATGCGATATGAACAAACCTGTAAGCAGTAAGGAAATCAACATAAAACCGTTTTTTTTGGCTGAACTTTTGCATCAATTCATCTTTCTTCCTCTTCTTTTCTCCTGCAGAGAAAAGGAAAAAAGATGACTAAAGTTCAGCCAAAAAGAACAGGCCTCTTGTTAGATTGGCTACTACTTACGTTATGGCCTTATGAACTCTACTATGATGGATCAATTCACTTACTGCTTACATTTTACTGCTTAAATTTTTTGTGTATCATGGCCCTTAGTGTATATCAATGTATCAACATGAAATATCGAATGCAACGCCCGAACATTCTAACTCCTAAGATCTTGTTATGACTAGATGTTAGAATTTTTTATCTATTGCTTTATCAAAAGTAAAAATGTATAAATTGTCTTATGATTCACTTAATCTAATATTAAGAAGTCATAAAGATAAAGATCCCTCTGATAAACATTATAATATTTGGTAGACTGAACACATTAATTTTCTGCATGTACTAACATGTTTGTCTTTAGCACAGACAGTGTTAACAAAAAATCCATTGCTTCATTTGTAATTATAATAATTTTAATAAATTATAATAATAAACGTATTTTTTCTACATACACATAATTAAACGAAGCGATATTTAGAAAATGTACATTTTCTAAATAGAAAATGTATTTTTGCAGATACCGCAAACGCTGACACGAACGCGAAAAGTACATTTATGTGCATCAAGATTTAATTACCATCCAGGCCCTTTGACGCAATTTACGGATGATGAACTTATGATGAAAGAAACCGGTAAGTGTCTCAATCTCTTTTCTCGTTAGAAGTAAATGATAAAGATCGCAGTCGATCTGTAAAATCTCTTTACTATCTCACTATATATATATATATATATTTTCATATTTCAATTCGTAGTTGCTAAACTGGCTAAGGAGGAGATCGCTCCTGCCGTCCGAAAAATGGAAAAGGAGGGCAAGATAGATGATAGCGTTTTAAAAGTATTATTTGAGAATGGCGTAAGTGTGGAACAAACAATTATTTAAAGTTTAGATTTTCATATCAATTATCCCTCAATAAACGAGAAATTAAAATGGATTGAAATTTTTTTCTATCCGAAAATGCGTATTTTAAATAGCGAATATTTTTTTTGGATTTAATTCGATTTAATTGGATTCAATTAGATTCAATTGGATGCAATTACATTGAAAAACTGCATTTCCTATTCAAAATTTTTAATTGAACAGTATTCACAATTGTGTGCACAGAAAAAGCTAATATTATTTTTAGATTGAAAGGCATAGAGATGGAATTCCTATATATCTCCATGCAATTCCTATAAATAAATAAAAATGCATTCAGGATTGAAAAGCATTCATTTTAACATTCGTGAATCAATATTTTTGAAAATCTGAATTCATTTCAATTTATTTCAATTCATTCTCATTTGCTGGATATACATCTTATCATCTGTGCTAGTAAAAAGTATGAGTAAAAGCTCATAAGTTTTTCCGCTTTTTGATAACCTCTACTAATTAGTACAGACGAAAAAGATACAGCAAACATGTGTTGAAATAGGAAACTTGACGCTGGCTGGAAAGCAGAAAATGTGCTTCTTTGTGCCCATACTTTTGTACTTATATGATCATATAATATAAAAATACGAGCACAAAGAAGCATATTTTCTTTTCAACAACCAGCA